AAACCCTAAACCCTAAAACCCACGGAAGGTTCATGATGCAGACAAAGCCGGGTACGACCTATAGTCTCCCTCATAGTTTCTTTCTTGGGTTTCACCAGTTCTATCCGTAGCAGCCTATAAGGTAGCCCCAAAGAAGGAACTACAATGGAGACTATATAAAGCGAGCCCTGGGCCCGAAGCCCAAAGCCCTTATTCACCCTATACCATACTTGCAGGGTCGGTGGACTCAGTAAGTAGGTAATAAATAGACGTACAATCCAGGTGTAGGGTTTAGGGTTTAGGGTAGGGGTTATGGTACTTACAAGTCCACAAAATAATAAATACTTACTTAGTCCCCCGACCCTTTAAGTAAAGACCCCATCAATTCTTTAAGCCCTGTGAGACCAATAAACCAAAACCCTGGGCCTTAAGCACCCCATGAATAAACACCAAAAGGAACCCACAAAAGATTTCACCCGATAAGCCCAAAACCACATTTACCATCCAGACTCCAAGCCCTAAACACCTCATGAACCCCGAAGACCCCTTGAGACAGATAAGCCCGGCAGATCCTATAAGCTCTAAATCCTATGTCCTAAACACACTTCAAGCCCTAAACACCGCATACTCTTATAAGCCTATAAGCCCTAAACCCTTGAACACCTTGTAAACCCTAACCCCCTATGCACCGTGTAAGCCCTAAACACCCTAAAGAGCACTGTAAACCTAGCTCCCTAGTTTGAATTTCGGGTTCCCTTTTACAGCCGAAGCATTGGCACAAGGAAATCTGTGTTGTTCTAGGGGTCTACTTGGCAAGTATTATAAAGGGGAATAGTTACCAATATTATTCCTAGGGCCCCTTATTCTAGTATAATATGCCCCAAAACCCTTCTCTTTTTGCTCTCCCTAATTAGTATAATGTACCCGAAAACCAATTTCTAATTGTTATAAGATCCAAAACAAAGCCCAAGCCTCAGCTGACAAGTCTTGCCCGGAAAGGAAGGGATCTGGGAGATGCTGCCGGCCGCCACGCGGACTGGGCGGCATAACATAAGAGTTCTCTAAATTACGTAGAGGATCTTGGGACTTAGTAAGTAGGGTTATAAGTACCCTAATTGGGGTTATTAGTATAGTTACCTTGTTTATAACCTCAGTTACTAAGTCCCATGATCCTTTAAGTAGGGTGTAGGGTTTAGGAAGGGTTTGCATACACAATATGGTAAGTCCCTAAGTTAGGGTCCCTGTTTAAGTCCCCAAAATGGTACGGCACCCTCATAAAACCGAAGCCAGAAGAGACCCAAACTTCGAGAACTACCCATATCCGACCCCACCGGCACAACCTTGTAACATTACCCACGAACAGCTCCTATCAGTTGCACCAGTTCAGTTCCTACCACTTGTATATTTATAGTGTGTGGCTGTAGGGTTTAAGGGTTTTACAATAAACTAAACAATAAAGCGCAAGATACATACATACATACATACATACATACATACATACATACATCCATACATACATACATACATACATACATACATACATACTTGGAAGGTCGGGGGACTTAGTAAGTAGTTGTTTTACAGACTTATAAGGACCATAACCCCAATTAGAGTCCCTTTTAGGGTACTTATAAGTCTACTTACTACCTACTTACTAAGTCCCCCGACCCTCCAAGTACACACATACATACATACATACATACATACATACATACATACATCCGTACATCCATACATCCATACATCCAT